TTGTAGAATGTTAGATCTATTGCCAAGCTTATATAAACTTGGATCTTGATGCAATATGTAAAATTTATTGTATGAACTTTAAAAAAGAAGAAGGTACAACTGAAAATTAGTAGTTGGTGCTTAGAATTCACTCGAACCATTGGATAAGTGAGTGATTTATGCTCATTTATTTTATGATTCACGTCCTTTTTGCTACCACAATGTACTTTATTTTAAGCACAATTTCTGAGCAAAGCAAAATTTATATTTTACTAATAATTAATATATTGACATATGTGTAAAAAAATTAAATCAAGGATATAGATGTATAATTAGATTTGAAAATATCTTAATCCTAAAATTATTCTTAAAATTACTTTTAAATCTTAAATTATTTAATTTAAATTAAAAAATGAACTAATAAATTTTACATCCTTTATAAGGTATAATTTAGAAATGATTTTATAAAAAAAATAATAAAATATTTGATGTAATAATAAATTTAAATAAAAAGAAAAAATTTTAAAAAAGAAAGAAAACTTTGATATAAAATAAAATCAAAACAAGAAAGGAAGACTTAGTATAAAAAGAGTTTAAAAAAAAGTTAGTATAAGTAGGATTAGAAAGCTTCAAAACTTAAAATATTACTATTTATAATATCTTTAAATAAGATCTTTGAAACATTATAAATTCTAGATAAACAAATGATTTTATAGAAATTTTAGAAGTAGATCAGGATTTTGATAGCAAAAGAAAAGGTACTATCACATCTTAATCCGCTATTCAATCTAACATGGTAGATAGTGAGTAACTTAGGTGTTAATGTCACCTTTGACATTATGAGTGCTTTAATACCCAGAGCAAGATAGAGGACATTTAGTGCCATAGATGGGACTACCTAGTATTGACCTCAACTCTACAACTAAAAAGTAGCCATTATAGAATCCAAGCTCATATCTTTGAACATTTCATAGGTGAGCCCCACATACCTTTTCCAGAGAAAATCCAGAATGCTCTCAATGTTATATCTATGGCATCTTACTCCAAAAAGGATTGGGTCATTGATAGTGGACTCTTCAAACATTTTTCGAGTGATATAGATTAGTTCACTTCTTTAGAGCGACCTTTACAGCTTATTAGTATTGCTACTGTTTACAAACACACTTATATTATTAAAGGATAAGGAGAGGTCGCCTTGCTTAGTAATTCTCATGACATCAATCTCATGACTTCAGAGCATTCTTTATGTCTCAGGTCTCAAACACAATTTGATGTTTATAGGTCAGTTTGTTAAGTCCAACAGTAGCGCTATTATCTTTGGACTGAAATAGTGTGCAATGGTCACAAACACTCACCCACCAAGGTTGATAAAGATCGGATACTGGGATGAAAAGACTTAATTATATAAGCTGACCTCTAATATTGATTAGCATCAAAAGATCCAAGGCAAAACCTAAGCAGCCAAGGTTACGAACTGCCTGCGCTCTTAGTTCAAAACTCGCTGTATCAATTGTTAGAAGCACCACATAGCTTGTCTCAAAATTCACTCTCTTACAAATGTTACTGCCGCTTATGACATGTTGGTTTCCATACATTCACTAAACAAGCACTGGAAGGCAATCTCTACGGAGTTCCTGTCTTCACTCCAAAACCTTTTGACTATAAGTTTTTTTTTATGGGAAAACAAACAAGGGAAGCTGCACCAACAAAGTCAACAACAAGAGCTAGTCATGTGCTAGAATTGGTTCATGCAGACATCTGCGGACCTCTTCCAATTCCCTCTTTAGCTGGAAACCGATAATTCTTTTTACTGGTAGATGATTATAGCAGGAAGATGTGGATCTACTTTTTGAAACAGAAAAGTCAAGTCTTTGCAAAGTTTTGTGAATTCAAGAGCATGATAGAAAAGCAAACGGGCCGACCCATCGAGATATTAAGAACCAATAGAGGTGGAGGATTTCTCTCCACCGCCTTCTCAAAGTACTGTAAAGCTCAAAGGATACATCGGCAACTCATACAAGACCATATCCCACATCGAAATGGGGTAGTAGAAAGGCGTAATCGACGATTCTCAAGAGAGTCCAATCCATGTTAATTTTAGGACTCATCCCCACATTATTGTGGCCGGACGCAGCTAAGACTTTGCTCTATCTGTTGAACCGGACACCGACTAGAGAAAATATGTTCAGCCTCTCCTCCGAAGAATTTTTTTCAGGTAAGCATCCAAATTTGAATTACCTCAGAATCTTTGGGCTCATCTGCGGAACAAGCTAGATTCGAGATCCATCGCCAACAGCCTAGTTGGCTATGACGATCAGTCCAAGGCATATAGGATTTATCTACCCTTGACGACCAAAATAATTGTATCAAAAGACGTCATATTCAATGAGATACACTTCTACTGCATAGAAGCTGACTCTTCTACCCTTGACATCCAACATCTCCTCTCAACAAAATTTGATCCAGAAATAGAAACCCTATAGCAAGATCTATAACGTTCAGAACCAACAACAAATCAAGTTCCCGGCAACAGTGTGCCCATTGAAGGTAATAATTCCTGGGATTATGGCGTTGCAAGCCAATCCAGCATTCCTGCAGCCCGGATCCAGAAAACTAGCAAATCACTCCATGTCGCCTTCACGCTACCGCAGGTCGCAGATCCAGGATTGTAGGTGCCTCTCTATCAATACCCCGCAAATTCCTTCGCTTTCTCCTCCAAAAAGTAAGAAAATCCAATTGGCTTGGATTTCGATAATGACCAGCAGGGTCCTGAGCAATCAGCAACACTAACTACAATACTCAAGAATATCCAGTTTCATATTCTAGTACTGAATCTCTCTCTCCTTCTGTTGAACATCCGCGGATCTTACCTAGTTTAGGATGGACAACACCAAAAACAACCCGATCAGGCCGCACCACTAAACCACCATTATGGTTCAAAGACCACTACGTCGCAATAGCCTCGACAACACCATCTGAACCCACCACCTTCGATGATGCTTGGCATTGTCCCGAATGGAGACAATTAATCCAGCATAAATATGAGTCAATAGTCTAAAACAAGGTATAGTTTCTCTCCATACTACTTCTTAGCAAATATGCCATATTTACACGGTGGATTTTTAAGGCAAAAACAAACCATGAAGGAGAACTTCAAAAATGAAAGTCTCGACTCATGGTGTAAGGATACGAGCAACAAGGGGTGGACGTGGAAGAGACCTTCGCACCCGTGGTAGCTTGGGAAACCATATGCACACTGTTAGCCATTGCCTCACAAAACGGCTATACCATAGTCCACATGGATATAATAACAACATTTTTACATGGTCCGTGCAAAGAGGAGGTATATGTATTACAACCGGAAGGCTTTTAAATACCAGGACATGAACACTTAGTCTACAGGCTCAAAAAGGCACTCTATGGCTTACAACAAGGTCCCAGGTCATAGCATGAGGAAATCGACAATTTTCTCAAAGAAATTGGTTTCAAGCCAGGCATGGGCAATCTGAATCTATACAGCAGAGTAGAAGATCAAATTATTATTTTAATAACCCTATATGTCGATGACCTCCTCATGGTCGGCAACTCCACATCTGCCATCAAAATTTTGAAAGCTAAGAGAGTATTTAAGTAAGCATCAGTACTTTTCTTACACAAAGAGCATAGCAGGAAAGATATAACATACGGCATGGCATAATGTCAACCCGCAGCCACTCCCATGGACGAAACATGTAAGCTCGCTGTGGACATGTGGGAGGAAGAATGTGATTCCACACTCTATCGAGAACTAGTAGGATCGCTGCTATTCCTTACTATCACCCATTTTGATCTCAAGTTCTCGGTTGGTGCATGTAGAAGATTCATGCATCACCCTCAGTTTTCAGGTCAACCGCCGGCTTCATATTTAGATTAGGAAGATCACCAATAACATGGTATTTAAAGAAACAGCCAATTGTTATTCTATCATCATCTAAAGCAGAATACCGGGCCCTAGCCAAAGCCGCTAAGACAGCATCGTGGCTACGCACACTTTTAGAGGACCTGCACTTCAGTATCAAGGCACCCATTCGCATCTACTGTGATAACATAGGATGCATTTGAATGGCTATTAATACAGGTTTTAATCTTTGTACCCGCCATGTTGCACACACTATCACTTCACCCGTGAAAAGGTTCAAAGTGGAGAGTTGATTCTAGAATACATTCCGACTGTCGAACAACCCACTGACATATTTACTAAACCTTTAGGTCGTTCATTGTTCGAAAAGTTCAAGAGATAACTCAATTTGCTATGCATCTCAAGCCTAGTATCTCTAGACAATTCCTCTCACAACTCTCCATCATGACAGGGGCTGCCCGCAGTAACGAGACCATTATAGAATCCCTGCTTGCAGTGATCCGAGCCTTACTTGCCTTGTTCAAAAACACAACAGATTATCTCATTACAAGTTTAAATGATCTGCTCACTCGCCTTCGAGATTGAACTCCCTCAGATCCTGAGTCCACCAACTCCTCTCAAGGTGCTGCAACACCAAAACTTCGCAGATTGCCATACTCTAGAAGGGTAAGGTTCTGTGTAGTAAAGGTGAGACGAATACAAGGGATTTACTCATCGTGGCAAGAATGTGAACCCATGATAAAACACTGTAAGGGTGCTAAATACAAAGGCTTCAAAACACTGCACGAGGCTGAAGATTTTCATGTTTAGTACAGCACTGATTCGAGTGACCCTGTTTTGTCTAGAACTTATGGGGTGAGAGGGGGTGTTGAACGTCACCCCTAATTGTTTCCCACAGGTTCACACCATAGGGAACGTAGGGAACGTAAGAGTATCTCCCGCATTTGTACAGCTACTTCGCTGTTTCTATTATCTGAGTATTGATGTTTATTATATTGCTTGGGGTTCATTACAATGTCCTGCACTGTTAAAAGCACCATTTCGACAAAAATGCGGTGAATCAGGAATGTTATCGCGAAGAGGGATTGTCGTCACAAGCATCCGTCCACTTCGCACGTACAAATGAAGGGTAAACAACAGTCAAAAATTGAGAAAATTGACTATAACTCTGAAATGGCATTTGAAAGTGAAATACTTTTGCTGATACCGTTTTATACTAAGCAGGATTGCCGAGAGAATCAGGAACTGAAGTCATCCATTGATGTCTTTCAGAGTTCAAGTAACTTTGGAGAGCTATCAGTTGTGAAGTTTCTTTGAGCCACTTCGGGCTATATACGCGAAAAAAGCACAGCTTTTTCAACAGTAGACCATGGACAGCAACATGAAATTCTGTCTGCATTGACTGAGACGAAGGCGAGCCTGAGGAATCCATGCCTTCATGTCTTCATGCTTTCATGCCATGTAGTCGTTGCGCGAAACCGTTCAGGGAACCAACACAGCTACTCATATCAGTGCGCGGCAGTGATGGAACCTTGGAGGCATGGTTGATTCTCTTTTTCTGATATGTCGCTCTTAAGTAACTTACCGACATCAGGGAATTTACAGATGTATCCCCCTAAGTCTTTTAGTATACATGGCTGTAACAAGTTCTTTATTTCTCCGAGTGCTTTTCTTAATGGTCGATCAATGGGATCTTTGAACGGAGTTGGAAAAGTAGATGGCATTTCAGCGCCACCCGAGGATAACAGCTGTCCACAGAATACAAAAACGCGATTAAGGTCATATCAGCACAGGATTGTTACTGGGCGGATTGCAAGATGGCTAAGTAGCCGAATTGCTAAGCAAAAATCGGGTTAGCTCAACTTTGAGAGAATTTGGAATAAATAGAGGGAATTAAAGCCATACGAATTTCAAGCTTTGTGGAGTTATTATGTCTGATAACTAGTAAGTGTTCAGATGGTGAGCTGAGAACTGGAGGAGACTTAACATTCTCGCTAAATTTATAAAGCATACGAAACACCCTGCTGGGTGTGCTGTAAGACACAAATCTAACCAGAGGCAAATTTTCAGGTTTACGATGTTGGATTAGTTAGGAATACGACCAGGATAACTTTACATTGCATACAGTAGCCTTCGTAAGGCCATCTTGAGAATTACCCTCAAAACTTCTCACAACTCTACGTAGTTTTGAATCGGGTATTTGGCACCTGCTTGTGAGCAACTTTACCTGAAATTTCACAGGCTCGGCTTCTTTCGAAATCTCCACCGTCGTTACTTCATCCAGAGTTTCAATTAAGTCAGCATTCTTGGAAACAACAGATTGTTGAGCTTTTGATAATGCTTGACGTAGTAAAACCCCCTCGATTTCAAGTGCCGCATTTCTTGCTTGAATATCATGAAATGCTTTCTGTAAGAACGGGGATCAACGTCATTTTAACCCTACACAAGCCTCCCAGGATAAGAAAGTTCACGTAGGACTACGAATCCAAATGTGATGCATGCTTAAACTTAATAAACACTCCAGTCATGAGTACATAACATCAACAGCGGTAATATTCGCACAACAAGGAATAGGTACACGAAGCTGAAGTTGCATGTACCTCTCGATGAGCCTCGGCTTCACGGACACGTAGCAACTCCTTACGCCAGCCCTGCACAGAAAAATCATTGCTTTAAAACATAATTCACCCGAAGGCATTGACTTGTCATGTTCAAACTGTGAAGTAGCATACCACGTCTACAGGGTGTACTCTGCCAAAAACAACGCACACATACTTCTAACCTATAGAAGACCGCATATGAAATATGTAGTTGCACGTGGTCTAACACTACCTTGGCTCTAATCAATCGGCTTTCAGCTTTATTTAAACATTTTTCAAGAAAAGTGTTTCGCTCCATTGTTTCGCGGAAGAGCGATTCGCGCTCCAGCTCAGCATCTGGTGTCATCACCTGCTCCATTAATTGTCTAATTTCTTCCTTGTGCATCTCACATTCAGCCCGCAGCTGTTGGAGCTCCCAGTCATCACCATTTTGCGAAACCTCCATAGACGTTCGCAAGTTGTTCACTCTGAAAAAGTTAAGATTCTCAGCTGCTGCAGATGTTTGATGGGTAAAAGATATCGAACAAAAATGTAACCTATAATTCTTCCGCTTTCAATCGGCCAATCAGTGCAGGCCTTCGATAATCCCCACTTAACATTAAGAAGACGCACCTCAAATGCTCGATTTCCACTTTGTACTCAACAATCTCCATCTCCGCGACAGTCAGCCTTGCCTCAAGAGCTTTAACCTACAAAAAGGAAATTATTCTAATATCAAGCAACAAATGTAGAAAAGGAGCAAAACTTTACAAGCAAATCATTAGTACAGACCAGATTAAGTGCTTCGTACTGAGTAAGTGGGGTTCAATCAACAGATCCTTCAACTGATACAATTGCAAATCAGATATTCTTCAACAGATACCTGAATGGTAACTGCGTCCATATTCCAAGTATCTCGTGGAGAGGTGGTAGAGCTTACCTTGTTAAGAAGCTCCTTCGTGAATAGTTTTTCCGCCTCACTCATGTTCTGTTTCGATTTTAGATCTGATATTATTTCATCGCCTTGGGCAGTCATCATATACTCCTGGCTCATCTCAATCGTGTGCAAACCATCAGCCATTTGCACGTCCGAAGAGACACAGGAGATACATTTAGATACAAGCCCGGATTCTTCATCACAATCTTGATGCAGGTCAATGTTGCATATGTCCTCTCCTGCGTCTTGAGATGATAGCACAGAGACAACATCGAGAGATTGAACCCAGGCATTGGCGGGCATTACAGAGTTACGAGCCGCCTTTTGATCCTCACACCATCCTTTCATACTGTCTCCATTTGAACTGTCGTGTGGGTTGTGTACAGAGAAGACAGATCCGTCGGATACCAGTTGTGTTTCATCTAGAATGTTTGTGGATCTCTGCCACAGCATGGACAGGTTCAAGTAATTCGTGAGAACATGAACATGGGCACATCAAAATAAATTTAGGTTTTAAGATAAAAATCTACACTCCGGTGCTGCATTGCAAGAAGTTTGCAAGAGGAGTAAGAGACTACGCAGGGGAATAAACCATCAAATAAACCAGGATACCTATAAAAAGCTAACAAACGTTGTCTAAGTTTACATCAACCGACTAGATATTCGTCGAGATGAGGAATAGATTAGTAACCCAGCGTCTTCCTGACTTCGGCGACACTACATGTTTGATTAAAAACGAATAAGTCACGGTCAGGAGCATGTGAAAGCAGAAAACCAGGTGCCATGAATACGCCATTATAATTCTAGAAGCACTGCTGACTGAATTTAACGGCCGTGTCAAAGCGCATTTTTAACTCAGCTACAATTTTATCAAACGGTGACCTCTGCATGGGCACCTGATATAGTTTGTCACTCTTCGTTTCAAAGCCCTTCAGATATTGCTTGATTTCAGCGCAGGTGGTAGCCACCACTCCATCATGCAAAGCAATAACGCCCAGACTGTTCTCCAAAGCTCTGACTAGCCGCAACTTCTCCGCCTTAACAACTTTCAAACACTCATGGTTAACACACCTCTGCCCCTTCATATAGCTGGGATGCGGTTTGTCCTCGGGATTCTGATTTGAGTGAGGTCCTATGTCCTGGTGACCCTCAAACGATCGATGGACACAAAACGATGTTATGTTAATCACTTCTGCGCGGCGGGGACATGCTTCGCAGGACTTGAGGATAGGATATGAAAAGTTCTCTTCACAAGAAAACGCACCGACCTCCTTAATTTCAATTACACTCGTATCAACCCCATCTTGCTCACGAGAAATTCCTTAGACAAAATGTGATTGCCCAATTACCCTGTCTACGGTCCGATCCGAGCATCTCTCAGATCTCGTAATACTTCACTGATGGCACAAGTAGACGAGGACACATTTAATCTATAGATATGAACCGCCTCAGGTTTTTATCCTGGAGGGAGGGGTGTCTGCGCTGAGTTCCCTAGGTAACGCCCAGCAAACTCAGAGGTGGCTTAAGAATGACGGCGGATAGTAAATCCAGCCAAAAGGACATAGCAAAAAACGGCCAAAGAAAACAAAAAAAAATGGTCTCAAGGAGTAAAAATTGTAAAAATGCCATCAAGTAATCCACAAGTCAGTGGTGACCTCCTTACGTTTTTACAGATGAAGTCGTCCCCCCGATAACTTGCCCCATCATTCGCAACTTGGATGACTTGGGACGTGAAGGAGGGCTCCTTCGACGACAGATTATGCATCAAACAAAGGCCAACATCAGCACACTCTAAAAGCAGCATCTGAAGTGCCTCTAAGCTTTTGCCAATAGTTCCTTTCGAAGCAACATGAGTTTCTAAACATTGAATGTCGTGATTGATGATACGTTGAAGTTCTTGAAGAAGACTTCTTCCAAGTTGATAGGCAAGATGTAAGGAAGCTTTCAGATTCTTCCTTTCTTGGGGAGCTCCAAAATCTTTCGTAAAAGATTCTATCTTTTTGACGCCTGATCCTGAAAGTTGCTTAAACCGACAACACAAGCGGCTTAATGCAGCAAGGATATCATCACTGTAAGCAGCATTCCCAGGCGTAGGCCTTATTCTAGATCCAGTCCAGTCTTGATCCCTATCTTCAGCAATTTGAAAGACTGAGCTGTCATCGTCATCAAAGAGCCGCCTCTTATGGATCTTATGCATCAAAATTTCAGACATTTGTCTATCGTGGTTTTCATTGGGAAAACGTCTGGATACACAACCACCAATTAAAGCTCCAGATAACATCAGCGGCCTCTGAATGCTGTTGTCTGCGAATGATTGACATTCAGAACATATTTCATTTGATTCATTGACTTCGAGTACATCGGGTTCAAAGTCAACTCCGGAGCAGGAGACTTCATTGCATTGCTGGTTGATATCACCTTGGATTCTCATCTCAAGACTACGTAACCTTTGCTTGAAAAACTCATTTTGTTCATCCATAGACACCCTTTCTTGAGCTTCTTGCTCAAGAGCTTCCCTTGCGTGCAGGACTTGCTCTTGAAGAAGCGCAGTCTCTGATTTCAGTCGTTTATTTTCCTCATTACATTTCTCTAGCTCAATTTCCAAATCCTTGACTACACCATGAAGTTTCGTGATTTCCTGATTTTGCATACACAAGCATGAGCCATCAGCCATCACAATCAAAGATAACATTAGCAGCCACATACAGAAATTGCTCAGAATGGCTGCATAAAGAAAAACTAATCCAGACCTGTTTTGATACCTGAAGCTGAAACCTTGATTTCTCTTCAAGAAGAGCACTATTTGCAGCTGCAACGGCTTCTTTGATTTTTTCCTGAATCTGCTGACACCAGCATCTCAGAGAATCAACAAAAACTCACAAATAGAAAGGAGCTCTGAACAACGTCCGAGAGGGTTACCAAACGACAAAAAAGCTACAAGAATACGTATGCAGTTTGGATTGTAATATCAGTGAAAAACGAATGAATCAGGCGAACTAAATATCAATTCGAGAGGCGACGAGGACCTTGAATTCAATGGATGACTGAAGCTCTTGATACTGCAAATTCATAGCGTTCAGCTGCTTGAACTGTTCACAAACGAGTGTAGCGGACGGAGCAAGAGTGAGCTAATCACATCATCCCGTTTCAGGATACAACATAGCAAGGTCATAATGAGCACTAACAAAACACAGATAAGTAAGGAAATAAGAGAACAAAATGCAGACTACATCTACATCTAAGAATAGACTTAAAGGTGGTCGTTTACCAAGGTATTTTTGCGTGAGCTCTCGGCAAGAAGAGGAAATTGGATTTGTCTAAAGCCCTGAGCATTTTCAGTATCTGATGAACCATGTGATAATCGCGAGTCAGAACTGACGTGGCAATCTTTCATATTCCCCCAAGTGTCCTCGTCAGTAACAGATTCAAGTGCGCCCCTGTTGAAACTGGCACACATATCTTCATCTGCAATATTCTCAAAGTCTGAGAAGTGAGGTAAGCTGTTCACCCCACTTGAACCGCTCCAAAACGAATCGCATTCATCACTAAGAAGACTTTCGAAGGCGGGAGGGAGGCCAAAAGTTCTGTCCCTACGCGTGGCTAGAGGTCGTGATTTAGCGTCCACTAAGGATGATGCGGTAAGTTGACTATTGCGTCCGTTAATTCTTCGCAGGCCCTGCGGGACCATTCAGTCGACAAGAACTTAGACCAGCAAACTAGACAGATTCAAACGTGTACACCTGTTTGGAAATGATCCAGGTCAAACGACTAGGTAAATTACCTGTTCTAAGGTATTTGATATTGAGGATTGAGGACACCACGTTTCTCTCCTGTGACTCTGTGCATATCATTCCGTAGCAAGTTTGTCAGTTCGCTGACGTCACAAGGATAATCACTAGGATGGATGAGAATACGTAGTCGTAGAAATTACAGATGAAGTTAGAGACGTCAGTGGACACCTTAGTGGGTAATTCACGATCTTCAATCGCTCCACTTATCACCATTGTGCTTAAGTTTTCAATTCTCTGTTCTTGTTCTTTGATCCGCCGTTCACGTTCCACCTGCGCTTTAATCTCTTGTTGGAGTTCCAGTTCTAACTTTTCTCGTCCAAGCTCGTACTATTCACATGAAAACAAAGTCAAAATTACACGCCCAATACGATTCAGAATAATCGATGCCTCCCAAAAAAATGAAATAATATTCTTCGGTAAACAGAAATTAATCTGAGATAGCAATTTGTGACTATAAGAACCTGTTTAGACGATCAAGAATTGCACCTTCACTAAATTCACTACGAGTATATAATGCAAAATGAACTTTTCTGCTTCAATCCGACAACATGTGAAGAAGCTATCTAAGTGATCGTTCCTTCGATGTTCAACAGCAATCATCAGTGCTAAATGCTGAGAATAATCAAGAGTGAATAATAAGCTTTAAGACCTTAAGCAAGTCGTTCCGCAACTGCAATATCTCCTTCTTCAAGTCTTCAGAATGGGACGATCCCTGAAAGATAATAACATCAAGCAACTTTAAGATGTACAACGATGGACACCACATCCCAACTAAGTAATCATACGTCATTTTCTGCAGTAACCGAGTATTGTGTTATTGAGAAGCCATCGATAGCAATAGGACCCGCTAATACGTCTCGGATTTTTCCCGAAGTCCTTGGTAGACACAAAAATCCAGGAGCGCTCTCTGGATTCTCCAATTCACGGATGAGCTATTTTGGAGAATGACAATACGGTACTGATATGGAAACTGAACTCACCTCAAGTCGCCTTTTAAGTTCTTTTATTTCCTCTTTCTGGCGTTTCAGAAGAGCAGCATCAGTCAAGATCTGTCAAAGCAGGAAACTAACGTCAAAAAGCGTCGTAATTCCGAAGTATCAGAACTGAAGAGGCAGATGTAGATTTATGACTCAGCTGGTTTGAGCAAAAACCAAAGAAATAAACAAATCGCCACAATAGTTGTGATGGGGTAATAGATCACCTCATTCACTTGAGCGCAGTTGGTGACACGTTTGGCTCTGCTGGCAAATTGCAGGGTTCCCCTAGTCTCATCGATGTGAATCTGTGCGCAACAGTTTGGGAAAGTAAGTATGACGCCAGTAAACATCAAGGTTCTTGAAGCCTCATATATACTCACGAGATGGGCATTTTAAAGATGACTTACACGCCAAATGCCTTCAATCAAAGGTATATCCATCGAATTAAAAATTGCAACAGACCTCATCAGGATTAATCGTACAGATTATTGAAGTTCTCGCATTTCCTCCCAGGGCCGATTGAAGGATTCGTGTCAGCTTACTGTCACGATAGGGTACATGTGCTCTGCATAAAAACACATATCAAATAAAGTGTCAAAGTTGAGTAACAATCCTCTAGCTCCACATTGTAATCGAAATATTGTCAAGACAGCCAAGTCATCAAGGTCACGCCATACACCGTATTTAACATCTTTTAACGAAATGAACTCTTCGTTAACATCTTTATTACAGCTGCACATTATTAACTATCCATACACTGAGTAAACCATATTGTGGGTGCAACAGGTAGTACAAAATACATACCCCTGCTTTCCACCACCTTCACTCAGCTTGTTTATCACCATTCCAAGAGTAGTAAGACTTTTATTGATGTGAGCTCCCTCTCTTAAGCGAACCCCTTCAGCTCCAGTCTTAGAAATCCTCTCAGACCCTGCTAGGTCTACAAGATTCTGCAGTATTTGCCAACTATTAGTCCACCGAGAATTCTATCTAGAACATATATTGCAGCTCGTCAATTCATACTACACCCTCAAATATTTTCAACTTATTCCTAAAATCTTTCATTGCGTGGAGGTCGGAAGAAACCTGTGATTCTGTAAATTGGTCAACATCACCGTAAGAGACCTATCTATGGTGTATAACCTTCGGGAAAGTCAATCATCTTTCCAATTCACAAATGTGATATACATCTAAATATAACTCGAACTAACACAAAAATGCAAAAACTTCAGACCTGATTCTCGAGCTAGAACACGCTTACCAAGGCAGACACTCGCACGGCATCCTGGGCACTTGGATCACTATCTTGTGTGGAGTCATGACTCTTATCTCTGCTCTCGATAACCTGCGACGACCCAGCAGCTACTCAGAAGAATAGTTGAAAGGCTTCGACAATGCAGAACTGAAATGAGAAGCCTAATGAAAGCACAGCTGTTTGTCTTGAACATCCGGAGATTGAGCCACATCACTGACTAACCAAAGTCTAGTGAAGCCACACTTAAAACCCTCCTCAAAAATGTACTAAGATAAACTGACATGAAATAAATTTGGGGTGAATTCAATTATTGTAGATTTCGGTGTTTAGGGATTAAGAGGGTATATGACTTACGACAAGCACGGTGCCATGTATTTAGATTCCCAATCATTCAGGTTGGACCACAATGATATCGAACACTGCTGATACCGGCAAAGAAGTGATACAACTACGCAAGCACTCCTGAAAACATGAATCAAAATCGATGGATCCAAATGTGGTGGAGTTTACCATACGAAATATGGTGTGTGATCGACTGCTATTCACGTTCATGTCCGTTTCCGCTAAGTGCCTCTGAGCTACACGACAGTTCGTAGTCATTGCAAATGTGAACAAACCAAATGCATGGATGTGGAAAGGAAACTGATTGAAAAGTACAATCAATAACCACGAACGTTTCGAGGCCATGAAGAACCTATGAAGAGATCCATGAAAAAAAATTGAAGTATGATTTCGTAGGCTTAGAACGACCACGAAAGACTGGGTTATAGAATAATGTGGACCCTAACCTTCACCACGTTCAAGTACTGCAATGACCTGCTCAACACTGTCGGCGATTTCCTCCCTTAAACCTGCTACAAAGATGCCTCTCTGCATAGAACAAAGCCTCTGCTTAATCCAGTTGATTAGATTGTTGACATACTGTACCACTATGTAGAAATCAGTCTTCGAACATGCGTATTATTACATGAATCTTCAAGGGTCGGGAAAAGAATTTGAATGTCAAGCAATACCTCAATGCTTTCGTGGATTTGTAATTTACGATTGTCGGGAGCCAATAGGTCATTGATCTCCTCGTTGTATATCTCCATATATGACACACGAACCAGAAATTCCCGATCTACTATCTGAAGGAAGAAAATTCATGGGACTCAGTGAAGTTGCATTCCATTCAGTCAGTAAGAGGTTGTTTTCATGTAGAATACACTGTTGGACACTTACATGATCTTCCCATGTGTCACTCTCACTTACCAAGGCACTCATACGATTCAAACTCAGCTGCTAAGATAGACTGAACAACGACATTTCACCTCCTCGACGCTCCGTAACTAAGCGAGTTCGCGTACCATCATTATCTGATAGTTTGACTTTTTTCACTAGATCAAGAATAACAGACAGCAAACCTTATCAATACTGGTGAAGACATCCTGAATGGCCAGTCGGGTGACACCTTGATCGGTAGCAGATCCCTGCATCGTGTAGGTTTTGCCACTGCTTGTCTGGCCGTAAGCGAATACTGTGCCTGTAAATTGAAAGCCACGAGTAAGTAACAGAAAAAGCATCCAGGCTCATTAGATTTGCTTAAAGACGCGGGTCATAATAGAAGGTAACTAAAGTACACACCAATACGAAGTGAGTGCATACTCTAACTTCGAGGTTAACAAGCTGCCCGAGGACGAAAATATGCCACTCGGATTTGCAGTTGAAAGGATATTATCTAAAGATGACTGAAACTCAGACGAAAGCATTCCGCATGAATCATGCAACAAAGTTGAAGGAAACCGGGCACCTACACCTGTAGAACAGTTTAAGAATTTGTAACAATGTTAAGGACTTTAAGGCTGGATAAAAAAAAACTCAAGACATGCATGCAGCAAAGAAGCCAGAGAATAATATATTGAATTCCATCATACCATTGAAGCCTGAAACTGCAGACAAAACTAGGTCCTTAGCGTGCTCCTCGTAAATTTCTGCATTTGTAGTGCTCACTCCAAAAATCGTGTCTGGTAGTCACCCAAATATCACAGACGCTTAACATCGCTTACAAATAACTTGTCAAAGTGAAAAACTACCCTACTTAGGTACAAGAAGTTCATGAAATCGCTACAAAAAATATCATTCAAACCCTGGCCAAAACAACATTCACTATATGACGCTCTAATACACTGGATTCTCGGTATGGGGCTTCCTCCTCGAGTAGGTGAGACCATTGCATCAGGCCTCAAAAGCCAGAGCCCTGAGAGAACAGATATTCACTGACATGTACAGGATCTACATCCAGGTCACCTATCGCTAATGATGTCGACACTTCATTCCACGTTATCAGGATTATAGCCGGAGGCGAGGCGAAAACGGACAACATGTAATTCCAGCAGGGTGTACAAAGTTTTATTTCATGTTTACCGTGGGAATAATATGTTCGACATTAAGAAAACAATATTAATAAATGATTCCAACCATGAAAATAAACATGAAAATAACGAGTAAATCAAGAAGCCAGGTTGTTGTTGCAGAGTCATCGAGACAAGAAATTGTATCACTTGTAATCATCAACTCGAAGAAAAAATCCTCACACAGCCTGAATCATCAATTTATCAAATAATTGCCACAAGCCGCCCTGTCACCTGGAACAATGTGATTCAGCGAAGGAGGCTAGTTTTACAGAACTGGATGCTAGCTAGACTTAATGTGGAGATGAAGAATTAGCACAGGTAATTGGCTCTGAAGAAGAATCCACAGTTTGTGAGCAATCGTAAGCTTCAACCCCCCTAGCAAACTGAAGTTCGTAATTCAAGGTGAGTCATAATTCGAAACAAATTCGATACACTTCGGGCGGAACACGTCGACCGGGGGACAGACGAAATTGTCTCGTAGCAGAGATGGACAAACTCTCTCTGTGAGACGTACAGGATCTGCTGTATTGGTAGGATCGCGGGGGGGGGGGGGGACATGCCGAGAGCAACAAACAGAAAGCGAAGAACGCCAAGACATAGACATATAATACTCGATATCCAAGACATTGTTAGAGCTTACCAAACGAATAGGTCTGACCCTTGATAGGAGTGCCCAATGCACTGTGCAAAGAAATGGTATTCGCCGCGACCTTCCATCGAGTCCCGTTGTTTGCTTCCTGCGTGCTCGTTGGCTTCACACGGATAGCAACGCAAATCTTCTCCATGACTCAGGGTCTTCGCGTAGACAATTCACACATAGCCAGCCCCCATTGTCGTAGCCATTCTGCTGTTCTGCACTACCATTAACACGTCGCTAAAGCAAAATCTCCCCTCAGCTGCAAGAAACAGGCTCAATGCTCACAGTTCCCTCTCAGGTTCCCCAATGCACACTCTGCTCAATTTCTCAGTCCCGTAACTGACCGCTCGCTTGCTCCCAAACGCAGCTCGCGAACTAAACAGCCCGCCAAAACCAAACAGAGCTACATAACCGGGAGCGCATCCAGCCCAAATGACAAAATCCAGTATCGTCGAAGATTTGGACAGTAGTAAAAGACGGACTTTCCCCGGGGGTAATATCTCCCTTCAGTCTACTTAGAGAGCAGCATTGTGGAACACATCCTTGACAACAAGGACCACAACTCCGCAACAAACGCGCCACTCAAGCACACGAAACAACGCATGCTGTCGGGAGATGGATCCGAACAACCTCTGCATCCCACTAGCCCTCACGATTAACCTCAAAAGTCGTTACAATCCCCAAAAATACCGGGATCGTACGAAGGCTCCACTCCATCAACACAAAACGATCCTCCAACACAACTAAGTTCAAAAAGACTTTCAGTATCATGGCATAGCGGGAGGTTGAAGACGACGAGCTCGATTTACGATACCACCGTACTTATACTCCGTATGTGTATATCCCTCCCCCACGCCCGTTTGAATGCATTAAGGAATGGTACCGCAACGCTGAGAATAGCCATACTATAGAATGAGTGTGAGTGGTGACAGCGGCAAGCGACTGGAAATCCTTGGAATAGTAACGTCAATGAGCCCGATCTCGGAGCGTTGAGGAAATCGGTTCGATGGTGATGGTCGCGAAGGAGTCGTCGTCGTCGTAATAATGAAAGTAGGGGTCACGAAGTGAGTGTCCCGCGACAACGGACGCGAGAGAAGTGGCTGCAATTGCAGCAGCGCCAGCTTCGAAAGCTGCTGCGAATGAGCAGGCTAAAGCTCATCGCCTTCAACGGCTCTCCTCCGGCAGGTCCACCCCATGCTGGATTTTGAAGTTATGGCACACGAGCATCTCTTTTTAGCTGGATTTCAGAGCCTCTGCAGTTGCTGTTTTCTTAAACCTGTCTGGAGCATTATTGTAATAGGTCTTATTCCCATTTAGGCTAAAAAAATCTGAATTTTTTTGTATAGATGTACTGCGTATTCGAGTCGATTTTCATCAACGTAGTGTTCAATTCTACTTTAATTTTAATTTGTTAGTGACAAAAAAAATCAAAAACGCATTACTTGGAACCGTGATCGAACCAATGTTCTCAAAGTCAAGGTACATGGTAAAGTTTATTGAATGAAAAAACAATTGTGAAATTGTTACGAGTGTTCTAGTTTTAATTAGTTTATTTCTTTTTTCTTTTTTCAAAGAAACCTCTGGAGCTACATCGTGAGAAAAGTTGTTGCTGCAACCATCTGTGTTAAAAACTCCTTAACATGTTTTTTAAGAGACTCCTTCACGCTATGAATCAAGATTTTAAAATGAACTTAAAATCATTATCGTGGCTCTTTGTTTAGGTGTCACACAAACAGGTCACAGTATTAATATCAATGTTGATCTAAAAATTTCTAGAAATTGATTGGTCAACGCTTGGTTTTAGGGTTTAGGATTGAGCTACACCTTGAACACCTATACTTGGTCTATAATAAGTGTAACAAACACTAATTACAGACAATATTGAAAACAAACATATTTATTGCAAAAAAATTACAAATAATAAAACAATGTTAAATTGCAACATCTATTATACAAAACTATTTAGGTGTAAAATAAAGAGACAAAGAAGTCTCCTCATTGGCCGAACATGGAAACAAGTGGACACAGATGAACAAGGAAATGGATGGATAGCAGTGCCATAGATTGTGGTGCCTAACGACATGGGTTTATGCTAATAGAATATAAAAAAGCATTTCATGTTTATATTTTATAAATGTTCAAAATTCATTTTGTATCATTTTTTTAAATGTATGCAACTTTAAAATCCACAACAAAGTGCAATGAACTTGTGTGGTGTATGTTTTAAAATTTGTATCCATACAAAGTAAAATAATCAACCAAAATTAGTTCCCTTGATGATATCAGATTATATGTCAAACTTCTACTTAATAATCATATGTATTCTATCTGTCAGATTATGCAAAACTTCAATCTGTTGATTAGTTTGCCAAAGACCACTAAGGAATCAAGACAACAATCAGATCTTTTCACATCAAATTGTATTTTGAGCCATGAGACATGAGACTGAGAACTTTCTTGTGCATTATAGTACAAATATTAATATGCTTTTTGGTGTTCTTAACGTTTATTAAGTTAAATTTGAAAAAAAAACATTTAATTTTACTTTTTCTCATTGATTTTTCTTTTAAAATATCATTATGTTATCTAATGAAACAACATAAATTGTATTATCATTAACCAGATTTGTGAAATCATTTGTAAGTTTTTGAGAGCCCAGTAAATTCAACTTAAATTACGTGAAGCGGATCTGAAAGTAGTTTTCTTTTATTATTAAAAAATAAAAATAAAAATAAACAGTGACAGATGTGAGTGAATCCATATTTATTTCAGAATTATATGTATAAACTACATAAATTCAAATTTCCATGCTGTATGTAGTGTACATTGCATGCGTTCCACTATCAAAATGATTCAGAAACTGATGAATCCACGATTTAATCGCATGTTGAAATATAATCATTTAGATCTACAATACAAGCATTATGAATTCAATAGTATTCTAATTCATTCATCTGTTAGATATTAAAACATTTAAAAATTCATATTTTACAAAAGTGGCATAACCCAAAAAGTCCTCCCATTTCAATTGACTGAATATTGACAGAGAAGCGTGTCGTTAACGAGCTCACACCGAAAAGTTCACCGCAATTATCCATGAATTTGTTAGATAAAAAAGATCTCAACCTAATCTCACACCAGACACGTAACTATTGATTGGTCTCTTGGTAGATGAGCGGTGAGTTTGTACGTATCTTGCTCGACTTTCACTTAAGATGACTGTAAAACTCCTATCAATTCTTCGAAATCCCTCGATCCTGATGCTGAAAAGCAGATATTCTTACCAAAATCACTCACAAACGAGTTTCGCAGGATCCAGCTTTGTGATTCACCTTATTACAGTCGCCCAGAAATAGTCCTAGGCAACAAGGTTTTCATTATACTCCAACACCTGATCAACCACAACCAATATGACGGGGTTAAACAGAATGCATTGAAGACTTGGCAGCGCTGAAGGAGGAGCAACAAATCACAGTTAGAAGCTTTGTGGAACTTGTGATTTCTCTGATTGATCGGAAGCAGAAGCTTGCCAAAAAAGAAAAAAGAAAAAAGAAAAAACTCGGGCCCCTATCAATGAATGATAACTTCGCCATGGCTTTATACGATTTCTCGTTAATAATAGATGAGATTAGGGTTTAGGGTTGCAATTGGGTTTGCCTTTGAGGTGTAGGAGAGCCCTCACATCAATCCTTTTGTGTTGCAGCGACTTCGCACCATCCCTTGCATGTGCAGCCCGTAGCTTGCAACCATGGTGCTCAAAACAGAGGTATGTCGGTTCTCCGGTGCGAAGATCTATCCCGGCCGGGGGATTAGGTTTATTCGCAGCGATAGTCAGGTGTTCCTTTTCCTCAACAGCAAGTGCAAGAGGTACTTCCACAATAGGCTGAAGCCCGCGAAGCTGTCTTGGACGGCGTTGTTCCGGAAACAGCACAAGAAGGACCTTCACGACACCGCAGTGAAGAAGAAGAGGAGGACCACGAACAAGCCATACTCTAGGTCCATCGTGGGAGCATCGCTAGAGGTGATTCAGAAGAAGAGGACGGAGAAGACGGAGGTGCGCGCCGCAGCTCGCGAGGCAGCGCTGCGGGAGATTAAGGAGAGGATCAAGAAGACGAAGGACGAGAAGAAGGCGAAGAAAGCCGAGGTGGTGAAGACGACGAAGGGGCCGGGGAAGCAGGCGGCAAGGGGTCCACAGCCGAAGGCAGCGAAGAGTGGTGCCGGAGGCAAGCGCTAAGGATGGTAGTGTGGAGGACAGGTTGTGAGATTTCTTGGGTTTTTTTATATGTTGAGCACAATTACATCAATTTTGTCTATGAAAATTAACTTTTCTTGAAATGGTTAAATTTTCTATGATTCTGAGATGGGCTTGATGATTACGGGGTGTCTAGTTGAATTATCAGTTGAAATGAGTGCCATACCTCTCTGAAGTAATGATTAAGTCATGTGAGTCACGTGTAATTGTTATTTTATCTTCAACGATATGAACCTTTGTTCGTTACTGAATCATTGATCGTAACAGGGTGAGTTGGCATAAAGGGCTAGGTTATGTGTTGTCTGTAAACTGAGATGTCTTGATCGATGCCGCATCGCCCGATGTGAATCTGTCCAGGAAGCTTGTAAACGATTTTAGCCGGCGATTTAGGGTTTTGGATAAAATTCAGTGGAGACATGCTGCCGCAAGAAGCACAATTAATTGCTATTCCGGAGCTTTCCACACTTGTTCGTGTATTTAATCTCGTTGCTACTCGTTGTGGTTGTTATTTCGGAGTGGAGGCTCTGGATAGCTCTGGATTCAGTATGACTGAGTTTGGATAAGTTCCTTAGTGGTACTTCTTTCTTTCTTACTTGCGTTTAGCATCTTCAGTATCCGAAATGAACTATCGGTCACTTAAGTTTGCTGGTCTCTGTGGGTATCATTTGAGCCCTAATGTAGACATTATGATAATAACCTGTCTTTTTCTTCGTCTTTGATGATATGATATGATATGATATCTTTGCCACTGATGACCTATCTGTACTATTCTTGTGTTTAGATTACTCTGGCTGTGGAGGTTGGATCTTTTCTTTCTCATTGCTTCCTTTGTGCATTCTTTAAGAATGAATGGATTGAATGGTTATCAGGTGTATGGGACCTTGAGACTGGTGTCTCAATCTTACTGTTCTAGTAATGGCAACGGAGCTGTTGCTTGCATGTCGCAATGTGCTTGGTGCGAACGAGCACGAGCATATTTAATTTTTCCAGCTATTTACGAGTGTCCTGTTGCGAAACTGTCCTGCTTGATGTGGCTTGTTTGCTTAGATTTATTAACTACCACGAATGAATCTCACTTAGCTATTAATCATCTGCAAAAGCAGCAGGGATCACAGTTCAAATTCCGTTTGCCTAAGTCTTGTGTCAGCCGAAGCACTTGTCGGAGTATCTCTGAAGGTGTACTATGAGGCTTTTCAAACTCTTCTGTTACTGTGCTGCTTAGTAACCAGATCGGATACATGACCGCGGAATAGACTATTAGTTCGCAAACTTCCAGCTGCATGCTTCGACCAACGGTAGTCGGTAACTGTGGCTGAGATAGAATTGGTGAGCTCCACAAGAATGAGATCATGGACTAGAGGCTGTTCCAACCTCCTTGATTGTCATACTTTGCTTTCTGAGAAGCCGAAGTCGCTTCCAGTGCTGCGGGAATTAAACAAATATATCCCACATCTAAGAGAGGTAATCATAAGTTGTATCTGATTTGAATGAATGTCTCCTGATTAAGTACTACATAATGTTGCATTATTTTGACTGAGAAATCAATCTCGAAATTTTGGACATTTCATATGAAGTAATTAATTTGAACTACTTTGTTTATGCAATGTTCAAGTGTTTTAGCGATCATGGTTTCTGAGTAATTTTCCTTTACTTAATCTCAAGTGCACTTCATAGTTAGGAGACAAGGAGAGAGGCTTTAACTTTTAAATGTTTTGATTGGCTGAATTTGAGAAGTCTCAATAAGTTGGGTCTATACTTTGAAAAGTTCAAAGATCTTAAGAGGAAAAAACAATTTTTTACAAATAGAAATTTGTAAAAAATAGAATTATTATTTGTAAAAATATGTAATACTTACATAATACTTTATTGATATAAAAAATATATTCTTAAAAAGATAAGATAGACATTTTTCTAAGGTTATTATTTAACTAATATTTATAGTAATATTTTTTAAATTATTGTTATTTCACTAACATTAATAGTGGTATTGTTTTCTATAATAATTCCTTTTGTTAGATTGGAAAGAAAAGAAAAAAATAATATCTTTCTTTCTTATATTTTTAAGAATGTATTTTATTTTATTTTTATTTTATGTTTTTGATAAAGTTGTATAAATTGATACAACTTCATGTTGGTTGATTTCTCGTCATACATTAATCAGAATGGAGATTTTTTTTAAATTAATTTATTTTAAAAATAATATTATATTTGATTAAAACATCATAATTACTTAAAGTAAAAAAATAATAAAAATAATAATTTGTGACGATTATAAGAAATTCTTTTATTTCTAAAATATATATTTTGTTCTAAACTTTATACCAACTACAACTCACATATATTATTTTTGCACTCAATGGCATTAGTTTTTGCTTGTGTATATAAGAGTATATGTGTGTGTTTGTGTGTGTCTTTATAGTCATTACAAAGACTAGTTGAATTAAAAATTCTTGTAACAAGAAGATAAAAAGGTACTTATTTTTTGTTAGAAAATATTATAATTTAAAGATTATTGACTTTTTTCCTTGCATGTAGAGCTCCATCATTCTATTTGATAGTTAATCTATGTCCAAGATGGACAATAATCATGTGTTTGTCATTGCAAAGGTAACTTGTTGCATTTAGATTTTATAATATGATAACTAAGACATTGTCAACTTATTAAGAAACATCATTGGCATTTTATTATATTTAGGAACTATACTCTATAAGTCATCATTTGCTTGTTTTGTATTATAATTTTATTTGTTGACCAAAGAAATATGTTCTTACAAATATATTTGAGATGCAATTAGCAATAAGATAGTTTGAACATATTGCTAATGCATAATATATATTTTGCAAATGATTGAAAAGCAAGATATTCTCTCAACTATATGGTTTTTTACAACTTGAAAATTTGGATGATCAATAAAAATAAAAGCCTTTTCAAAAAAGTATTTACAATAGTAGCTCTAATACCTAAAAAACATTATAGAAGGATACTTACAAAAGTCATCACCACAAACCACTACCTTGCCTCTATAGAATAAACTAAGTATTTGCATGAGATAGTGCAAACTACAATTTATAGCTTTGATATAATGTCAATATTACATTGGTCTTTTTTCTCAAATAATGTGTTTTGTAATACAAATTTATTGAGCAAAATTACTCATATTAATAAATTTATATGACAAACTATTTTTATTGATAATAAGAATTAAAAAAACCAAATGTAATTTATGCCTACTATCTAAAATAGAAAATTATAATTCCATTTAAGACAACAACTATAATAATGTCACAATAGCTCAAGTAGATGCAAGGAAATACAATGTTCAATTTTATTTTTATTTTTATAGAGCCATTTAATTAATTGAAAAAGTAAATCATAAAATATGAATTTTAAATAAAATTAGTGATTGTTATAAATGCTTTTGTTTATCTAGTATTTAAAAAAATATATATATATTTCTATTAAGTTAGACTTGTAATTATTTATAATTGTAAGCATGTTGAATTTAGAGATGTAGATTAAAATGCTTACTGACAATGTAATGTCAGAATAGCATGTCAAAAGCAAAGTTTTTAAATCAAATAAAGACTAAATAATTTAGACTTTTTATATGAAAATATTCTATTCAACATTTTTTTTGTAGTAGCCATAGAACACAACAAGCAGCCTATAATATCAGATGTAATGCTCCACATATTATTCAATGAAATTCAAATGAAATAGATCTTATAACCATCACTAAGACTAAATAAAGAAAAAATGATCTTTAAATGAAATTGAAATAAAGTACATACTTTTAACAAATATACACCTATATTGACAAATAATATGGAATTTTTTCATAGATCATCTATATATGGTTTTGCAAGAATTTAATATGAATGATTTGACAAAAATAAGCATTTAAAAGCAAAGTATGAAATGCAACAAATAACACTTATAAAAATATTGATTTAAAACCAAAGTAACAAATGAATTGATTTAAAATCAAAGTATTTTGTAAGTGTTATTTGTTGCATTGCACCATGTATTGTAACTACAACTAAATCATTATTCCTATTTTTTTTATAAAATGGTGTTAATTTGGCAAGTGTACTACCAAATATATAATCAAAAGCCATTTACAATGCATCTTGTTTTAGAAGGAGTTAATACCTTTGGTAGGACCAAATTATCTTGCTTTTAGGTATTTTTTTATCTCATTTTTTTTCTTACAAAGTTCCATAGCAACTAAGTTGGGGCCTTTGTATACATACTTGAAGAAATATTTATCATTGTTAATGCCAACAAATACTTCAGTATTGATATACATTAAAAATTTAATTAAAAAATATATTTTTAATCTAATATATTGGTAATTAAATACAAATATTAAAATATTTTGTAAAATCATTTGTTTGCAATCATAGTGGCAATAAACATCATAGCTATCTTCACCTTCTATTTTTTTTTACAAAACTTACAAATAAATCCTTTATTATACATGATATTTTTTATGCAAGAAATTTTTGGATATTTAATACTACATGGTCTATGCAAAAAACAGGTCTTAATTATTTTTGTTGAATTTTATATTCTTAATAGAAAAACAATTCATATTATACTATATAATTTCTTACCTTTGTGTATATTATCTTTCAATTTCAAACAAAGACCAAAAAGAAGTGGATATAAGGTAGTTCTTTTTTTTTAGATATGCTTTTATCCAAACATATCTTACACCAACAACAAACCATCTTTTTTTGTTTACTTCTTAAAAAACAATTTCTTTTATAGATTGTGAATCCAAAAAATCAAATTTGGCATGTCTTTTTTAAATTTATCCTTTCAATAAATATAAATTTATTTTTATATATTTAAAATTTTATATAAATATAATAAAAATATTAAGAATATCTTTTGATTAAACAATTATGATAAAATATGAGGAAGTATAAAGTTATAATAGAAGTTTAATGAAGCAAATACAAATGAGCTTTATACCTAATAAGAAAGGTTTTAAAATAATTAATTGTTTAAAATAAATTTCCATTTTTACCTCTTATGTATCACAAGTATATATATTTTTTTTAATAATATAGACTTTCTAGTACGAACACACTAATAAATACTCCCACTATTAACAAATGAGTATTTAGCTCATTAGGCTACATTATGATTTAATAATCTACAAAAATTATGATAACTATTTAACTTTGTGTTGATTATTATTTACAATATATTGCTAATTTTCGACCATCCATAAAATATCTA